GAGTGGAAGTGGAGGAAGTCTGACTTGGAGGAGGAGGAGGAGGAGGAGGCGGAGGAGGAGGAGGAGGAGGAGTGTGTTGGTACGCGCGTGCCTATCGATTGGCTTTGTTCATGGGCGCGAATCCGTCTATTTTGACGCATGTGCCTATGCTCCTTAACATTATGTATAAAGAATTGCCCTTTCTGCCGCAATTCCGGAAACAAAAAAGCAAACAACAAAAACGTGCCAGAAGGATCCAGATTGAACTTATATACAGAGCTGCCTTTTCTGCCGAGTCAAAGAGAGCTCCATTTTCCAGGAGGATCCATGTTAAAATTATATACAAATAATAGTGTTGTCTCTGCCGATCCCAGATGAGCTCCATTTCCCAGAAAGATCCTTATTATAGTTCCTGCCGGTTCCAGCGGAGTTCAACTTTGCAGAAGGGGTCCGTATTACACATACTTAATAAATCTCGCATATGTACTTGTTTGCTGTGTTTTCTGAGGGTGCAGACCACGGGTAACGATACTACGACTACTACTACTACTACTACTGCTGCTGCTGTTGCTACTACTACTACTACTACTACTCCCTACTACTACGACTACGACTACGACTACTACTACTACTACTACTACAACTACTACTACCTACTACTACTACTACTACAACTACTACTACTACTACAACTACTACTACTACTACTACTACTACTACTACTACTACTACGACTGCTGCTACTACTACTACTACTACTACTACGACTACTACTACTACTATTACTACTACTACAACTCCTACTACTATACCTACGACTACTACTACTACTACTACAAACTACTACTCCGACGACACTATTCCACTACTACTACTACTACTACATACCCAACTACTACTACACTACCACTACTACTACTACTACTACGACGACTACTACTACTCCGAATGCTACTACTTTTGCTACTACTACTACTACTACTACTACTACTACTACTACTACTACACTACTACTACGACGACGACGACGACGACTACTACTACTACTACTACTACTACGATTACGACAATTACTACAACTACTACTACTACTACTACTACAACTTCTACTACTACTAGTGCTACTACCGCTACTACTTCTGCTACCACTACTACCACTACTACTGCGACTACGACTGCGAATACTACAACTAATACAGCTACTAATATACTACTGAAATACTACTACTACTACTACTACTACTACTACTACTATTACTACTACTACTACTACCACTACTACTACTACTACTACTACTACTACTACTACAACTACAACTACTACTACGACGACTACTATGATTACCACCACTACTTCTACTACTACTACTACTACTACTACTACTACTACTACTACTACTACTATTACTACTGCTACTACGACTACGGCTATTACTGCTACTACTAACGCTATGGTTACTACTACTACTACTACGAATCGCAGTATAAGAATTAGTGGTACTATATTCTTATGTGTGGCATTGATCGTAATCTTTTGATTCCTCCCGTCATAGTGTTAATTGCATCAGTATCATTGCTGTTACTCTTACGACTACCACCACCACCACCACCACTACTGCTACTACTACTACTACTACCACTACTACTACTACTACTACTCCTACTACTACGAGTACTACTGCTACTACCACTACTACTGCTACTACTACTACTACTAATACTACTACTACTACTACTACTACTACTTCTACGACTGCTACTACTACTAC